TTGGGGAGGAAACTATCAATATCACACTCGAGTTAAAGGAGATAAACTAATATGGGATTCTGCTTCAAACCACGACATTCAACTAGCACCCATTTAAATAATCATATAAATAGAATCGAAGGGAAAAACATGAACATTCGTCGAGTAACTGTAAAGCGAAGAAGACTTCTGTTGTCTAATAAAGATTATAAATTTCTTCAATCTATTGGATTCCATATAAGATATTAAATAATGGCTGTTTATGTAAGAAATGAGATGTTGGACGTATTTGAAAAGCCGATCGTCGATAACTCAATCAAAAGATGCGATGGATATATCCACCCGCCTACGGGATCGCCAAATTACAAACATTCTGATACAATCACCTTTACGATCAATAATATGGACCTGAATCTCTTAATTTGCGATAGTTACATCAATATAGTCGGAACATTTAAGCCAAAAGAGGCTAATAAAAAGTGCTATTTGGCCAACAATGCTCTTCCTGGCCTATTTGAAGAAATTAGATATGAAATGGGTGGACAAAAGATTGCTGAATGTCGAAAACCCATTATAACGACAGCAATAAAAAATATGGTGTCATATGGTGAAAAACATGCGAAATTATTAGAAACATCCGGTTGGGGCCTCAGCGAAGAGAATCAAGTTTTGGTTGATTCAACGAGTAATACATTTACAGGTAGAATCTTATTAAAACATCTATTTGGTTTTGCTGAATCTTACAAAAAAGGGATAATAGGTGTTAAGCATGAGATGACTGTAATAATTGCTCGAGCATTCGAAAATTGCTATATAGGAGAAGTCGATGCAGACATAACTATCACTAAAATGGATTGGATAGTCAAACATATTACTCCCGAAAATGATGCAGATGTTCTCATGTATAAAAAAATTAATGACAAACATTTGCAATCCATTAAAATACCGCACCATAAATGGGATCTTTATGAATTACCTACTCTAAGACAAACTTCTAACGACATATGGGCGATTAAAACCACTACATCCATGGAACGACCTAGATATGTAATTATTGGATTTCAAAATACTTCTTTTACTGAAAACAGGAAAGAAGATGTGACGGCGTTTACGGCTGCTGATATAAGCAATATCAGATTATATCTAAATTCTGAAGTTTACCCATTAGAGCGTTGGAATTTAGATGTTGGGAAAAAGTTGGATACTCCCGCTTATTATGCTTATGAAGATTTTCAGCGAAGTTACTACAAAAAGGAAAATCCCCAACCGATGTTAGGTCTGAATGGCTTTAGAGCGAACCCCCTATTCGTAATTGATTGCAGTATGTATCCAAAACCAATCAAATCTTCAACTGTGGATGTCAAGGTTGAATTCGAAACACGTAAAATGCAGTTTCCCGCCAACACTAAAGCGTATGCGCTTATTATTCATGAAGCTCTTATAAGTTATAATGCACTAGATGGCACTGTACACACTGAATATATGCCATTGTAGTTCATATAATCTAATTTACTGTATCCAAACTTATACCTGTGTTCACTTTTAACAAAAATAAAAAGATGTAACCTTTTTTAAATAAAAAACAATTAAACTATGTATATTGTTTTATTTATATTTTAATCACAGATAGATAGATATATTATATAAGTAATCCCTAATCCATTTCGTCATCTGTCTCATCATCAGCCTCATCGTCTGCATCTTCATCTAAACCATGTTTACTCCTTATTTGCGGGGTGATGTATGGTAAGGCCTCGTTCAAGAAGCGTTTCAAACTTAGGGTAACCATCTTCTCACAGAATGTATCCAAGTCCAGCTCACATGCATTATATTCGCAGCAAAGATTGCTGCCTTTACAGTATTTCTCATAACAATCGTTTTGATAGGCCACAGCTTCTGGAAACAGCCATACCTCAGCGTCGTAATTGATGGAGTGTAACGCATCCATCGCCAGTGCGTCCAGTTCCTTTCCAAGCCTGCTTATTGCTGATTCTAAGTCGATGGCTTTAGGCCAGTGCTCTTCGGAATACATCATCCACATGTCGAAATAATCTGAAACAATATTTGGCCGTTATTAAATGAACAAATATTGGTAAAGTTATACTTACGATAAAATTGTGGAAATTCTTAATGAAATATTGCGTATATTAGATATCTATATGTGTTTAAAAGTAAAAAAATATTTACAGTGACTCTACCATGGATTTAACTAATTGATTGCTGGCCAACTAGATCGATTCTTATATGAGACCTAGTAGTTGAGTTGTAACACGGCTTTTCCCCTAAATAGGCCATGGCATATTGGCCAGTAGAATCATTTATCATAGCAATGACTTCGGGTGGCATTATTTCAAAAATGCGTCTCGGTAACCATGTGTTATAATTAAAACTACCTTTTGAAAATAGGCTTTAATAAGCAAAATTAAACATGACAAAATTGACAGTGATTAACATTAACATAGATACAATAAACAAGTATACATAGGGTAGTACGTTAAGAAAACACACCACATTCTCCCCAGGTTCATTTTTGAAAATAATCTTCAAGATATTTTGGCGGTCGCCTTATTCTTGTACTTCGCTGAGTAAGGGCCTCTTTAATTAGATCGGAATCAGATGCACTGCTTTCGTCGAAATTTTGACTAGATTGAGGTTCAATAAGATCTTTTGTTTCAGGAGGATTTTGGTGAGGTATTTCAAGACATTTTTCATTTTCTACTGGACGATTTTGGATATTATTTTGTTGAAGTTAATGGTCTGGTAAATTTTGAGAATCCAAGAGAGAATTATCTCCAATTTGAGAATCAAAAAGAGATATATCTCCACGGGGATACTGTGGCTTCTCTTCCATCAATGTGACGAACACGTGCATATTCAGGGTTGGCTTCAATTAGTTCAACTTCTTCAACGGACGGGTCATATTTCGAACATTTAACATGCTTCTTCATAAAAACTTTACCTGGAATTGTTAGCCAAGATGGTATAGTTCTCCCATTTGACGATTTCCTCGAATGATGGAACATTCGTTCGTGAGGTGTGCAATTCATAGCAGTACAAAGAAGAGAACGCATTGAATGAAGAGCATCTTCTAATACTTGTTCCCACATTTGGATTTTTAAATTTTGTGATCTTAGAGCAAGAGTAACTGTTTTCCAAATAATTCCATTGAATCGTTCGGTTTGTCCATTTCCTTCAGGATTATACGGAGTAGACCTGCTGGTGTAAATACGTTTTTAACTCATATGACATGAATGACGAACCTTGATCGGAGTGAATATACCCGGTCATTCCAAATACAGAGAATAAGTTACTAAGACCACAGTTTATAGCTAAAGAATCAGTTAGCTCACTCGGACCAATTGGATGTTCCAAAAGTACATCCACTCCAGGGATACAAATTCAGGATGCGCAGAAGACTGCTGTTTTATTATAGGCGGTTGTCATATATTGTATTAAGCATTCCAAACCCATGAACTGTCAGTGGGAAGATTTGATATATCCAAGGATTGCGACATACGATGTATTCTGTTTATAATACGTATAATCATGAATAATGGATTACATTTAAATATTTTATGCCAAACACAATAAAAATAAGATACATTTTTTCATAAATTGACAGGCTTGGTGACTATTATTTCGAATAAAAAGAGCATTCAAAATGCAAGACTATGTCTCTACCCCCTTAGATATACCAAACCTTCTCACTGACAGCTATTGTTTGACAGGTCGTTGAAATGCCCATTGTCACATACTTTGATTACTATACGAGGCAAGAGAGAGGTCCGACACCACATACTTTGATTACTATACGAGGCAAGAGAGAGGTCCGACACGCCCAACATAGGGCGCGGCCATTTTGAACCCTGTGACACAGTTTACAGCTAAAGAATCAGATCGCTCACTCTGCGTCGGCACTTTGGATCTCAATGTTTCAGTTTATGCACTGTGCAACTCGGATAATACAATATACGACAACCGCCTATAATAAAACAGCAGTCTTCTGCGTATCCTGAATTTGTATCCTTTCAACTGGTCCGAGTGAGCTAACTGATTCTTTAGCAATAAACTGTGACTTCAAAAATAATATTCACTGACACTGACAGCAGCAAGCAAAATATCAGGTGCGTTTTAATCATCCGCTTCTGCTTCCGGAAATGTCGGTTTAGTCGTTTTAACCTGTCAGATTAAAACAAGAAAACCGACAATTCCGAAGCAGAAGCGGATGATTAAAACGCACCTATTAAAAATATTGCGCCAAGATGTAGGCAACACGTAATAAGGGATCAAAATGGCGCAGTGCGACCATTCTCCGTATAGTAAAAGAAAATCAAAGTATGTGGTCCTAAGGCACACAGGAGGGTATAATATCCGCTGTTGTCATATGTTTATTTCGTTATTCTCGTTTTGTTTACAAAATTATTTACATATATTAAAACAGCTAAAATAATTCAACCTATTTTATTCCAACTGCACCCAAAAAATTTTGAATAATTAGTTATATCAAATTTAACTAAATTAGATGTAATTTCACTAAATTGGATGTATAATTTCCAATAAATTCCAAAACCTAGTCAAGTTAGGTTGGAAGTGCCAACAGGGCTTACATCGGCATGGATATTTACGTTGTTTATTATAAGCGCACAGAGTCTTACACATTTATTCATTGATAAAAAAAAGTTGTATCTGCGTAAAATTCATCTCTCTATCCTCTCTTTTACTTCTCATCTTTCGTCCCCTCGCCGCGTCCCTACAAATAAAGCGTGTTGATTGTCGAATTAATCTTGGCATCGTGAATATTATATTGTATTAATGAATGATTATATATCTGTTATCTCTGATTTTAATCAATTTTCATGTGGTAAAAACTGAGATCTAAGTGGCCCCAAAATATTTCAGATAAGATTGTTTTAATACAAAAATACTTTTTTTTCTAATAAAATCTGTAAAAAAAGACAAAAAAAATTAATAATAATACGATGCCGGAGACCGGTAACGCGACATGTACAACAGCAGGGGCGTGAAGACGCCCCATTGAGGAGTTCTTATGGATACACCACTGCTGTCAATACCTTCAATTACTTATGGGATGGATCATCAGCGGTGCATAAATATGTAGACACCATATTTTAATCATAAAATTTAAATTTTCAAAAACATTAGTTAATCTTGATTCTAGTCGAAAGTTCAATGAAATCTTTTGGGAGGCAACTCAATAATCATATTATTATGAATACACCGCACGCACCGTATCAAATTAGTTGTTCTAACGCGCTGTGTACCCTTTAATGCGAGTTATTTATTTATCAGAATTATTCTATAATATTTAAAACAATTGTGATGTAAAAAACCAAATATTTTAACGTGCACAATCAATAAAAGCACAAAAGAGGATTCCACTTCTAACGATTTGATAAGATTATTGGTTTAATCAATAATAGTAATAAGTATTTAGTTTTCGTTTAGCCTGCAGCTGATGAAGAAATGCTGAGAAAAGTCGAGCATTATTAGTGAAGACGTTTTGTTCCAGTTTCTCTAGGTTTAAAATAATTTGTTCAATATGAGTTATTCAGTTATAAATATGTGTGTGGGTAGGTGTATTTTTTACTTTTTTTTGCTTGTACATATTTAAAAAATATCAAAATATTTCGGAAAATTCTTCTTTATTTAAGAAATTGATAAATATTTACATATAAATGTAGGGTTCACACATTTTTTTATTAAATCAAGTTCCCTTTAACATAAGCGGGTCTTGAGACTATTGATAAAAAATATAAGCATACATTCAATACATCAAATTTTTATTATAATATTAAATACAGGTGCAACAAGTTTCGGCCTAACAGGGCCATCTACAGACATGTAATACGTAAAACCTTAAATTAAAATAGGAAAAACAAAGAATATATGGTAACTTACGGTTAAATAAATTTTAAACAATTTGTATGCAAAGATCCAAAAGAGCTTTATTACCTCCAAATTTTGGTCGTCCTTCTACTCTTGACGGTCCATACGTCACCACAGTCCACAAATATCATTTGGAACTGGAACGTCACAACTTTCAAGTGGTCCATCTTATCAGATTTTTCTAAGATCACCAACAATTTTTTTGTACTCTTTAGCTTTCTCATATCAAAGTTTTTAACTCTATAATACAGTGTTTTTTACAATATGAGTCCATGTTACTTATTACATACACATTGTTTACAATTATTAACCGTATGTTTATTACCATAAATTTTTTGATTTCCTATTTTAATTTAAATTTTATGGTGACATTGCCAACTACTGTGTCTTCTTGTGCTAGTTTCATTCAGCTTTGATGGATGATCTCACCATTATTGGATTTTAGAAGTTAAAAGGAACTCTTTAAATGTTCCGCAAATCTGTTTTTTTTTGCCAATTGTTTCGGGTCCAGCTTCCATCTCTATTTCTGATTGGTGAATTATGTATAGTAAGTAGGCCTTTTGGCAGCTTTCCAGAGTGAATAATCGGTACTTTTATCGTTAGTTAATTCACTTAAGTATTCGTCAATCGTATATCACGTTTTAGCTGTTGTGTTGCATTGTTTAAAGTTTTATCATCTGGTGCTCTAGACAGTTGCCATTTTCTTCTATTTTATTTCTGAGATAAGATTTATGATCCCTCAACAGATCAATTTATGGGTAGGAATCACTGACCAACACTTAATAGGATTATTTTTTATTATGGCAATTCAAACTGCAGAACGATATCGTTTCAGCAGTAAGGGCATTGTACCCTGAGAAAAATAATGACCTAAACGCGTAGATCACACCACTCCTTTTTAGCAAGACAGTGCTCCACCACATTTTTGTTAATCAGTAAGGAGATATCACTCTCAGGTGAAAAAGTGAATTGGTGGCTTTCTAGGTCTTCAGACCTAACACCATTGGATTTCTTTATTATTGGGTCATAAAAAATTGGTGGTATACAAAAATAGGCAGGACAATCTTTAGGTTCTCAGAGAACGAATAGTTGACGAAAATCACAATGTTCAAGAACCTTTGCTGCAAAATGTAAAACAAGAATTAATCCTTAAGCCATTTAACGGTGAACACTTACTTTATAGTCATTTATACAACAAGTGCAATAAACACTTTTTGCACGAGTTGCATACAATATTTTTTCTACGTTCATGCAAAATCCAAAAAATGTTTTATTTAGGCGAATCTAAGTGCAGAAGAATAAAAAGCGTAATTTAATAGCAAAATATTTAATAACTAATAATTAGCATCGATTAACATTGAAAAAGTACCTACTATAACTATGTTAAGAAAAATAATTTAACCAAAACTTTAGGAACAACTGTGTTATGAACAATAATTAAGCTTAAACGTTGTTTTTGCCACTAATATTAAAAGTAAATGTACAATTTGTACAATTTTCAATATTAATTTTTTTTTATGTTTGTCATGATCATAAAACGCTGTAGTAAAATGACAGATAAGTGCAATAAAATTTTTATTGCACTAGTGCAATAAAAAAACCAGTTTTTTCACTAAATATAGTTTCATAAAGTTTTATTTTTTGCATGAACGTAGAAAATGTACTTTAGGCAATCAATATTTGTATGCACCATTTTGAATAATTTTTTTTTTAATTCTAAGCCATTTTGTTTAAAAATATCTGTATTTAATTAACAAACTGATTTTAATACACTGTTGTAATGAGAAAAATATCCTAATTCAAATTTTGTTTTAAAAAAGGAGGGTTACAATTAAAAAAAAAAACGTTGACCCGCTTAAGGGCTTCGTATTTTCCTAAGTTGGCAATAAATACCATAAATTATTTTTGAACTACAAAACAACTTTCAATAAAATTATTTTTTAATATTTTCGATATTTCAAGTGACACTCATTATTCCACACATTTGAACCATCCTGTATACATTTCAGGCGGGTTACACAATTTTATTTAAAATGCAATATAAATAAAACAAAATACAAGGATACAAATAAAATTGTTACCATTATTTAGAATTTTTAAGACAATTGAAGTATTTTTTCAATATTGTGTGTAATTAAGAATACAGGGCGAGTCAAAACTCAAATATATTATTTCCTATTTGAATAGAAAGGGGTCTATTCTGTAACAATTCCTTTATATTTAACGGCATTTAAAAATATTTTCTTCTTTACTTCTGTCATTATTTAAACGGATTAAAATACATTATTAGAGGACTATCTTAAAGAAATCTGTTTAAATAATGACAGAAGTAAATTAACGAATACGAACATATTTTTATAGGCCGCCAATATTTTTAAAGGCCGTTAAATATAAAGGAATTGTTACAGAATAGACCCCATTGTCATCCATTTTCAATAACCTACCTCGTCTCTGTCCCTTTTTCTTTTATGTTCAAGTAAACAAACAATTTGTTCAATTAAATATTGCATAACCAATAAACCGTAATGGGTACTCACAGCGTTTGTAATAATTATTATATTTATTAAACCAACGACATTTGTATTATGTGATGTACAAATAAATACATTCATACTTCATAAAAAAATTGTTAATAAAATCAAGTACCAGAAAATTTCCGATGATTTCCTGTTTTCTACTGTCCTTGAGGTTTTATAAAATAAATTTAATAATATATTAATAAAAAGGTGTCACATAATAATCCAAAAATTTTTACAAATTACACAGGAGATTTTTTTAATGTTAATATAATTACCTACAGAAATTAGAGAATGATGAAGACCCTATATAAAATGATCATAATATAGGTATGAAAGCAAACTAACGAATAGAAATGATAGATTATTCATTTTATACCGAGTGTTTTGAAACCCGTCATAAATGTTGCTCATTTTAAGTTCTACGTACAACGCAAAGGGTTCGAAGTAAAATCTACCTTCACCCATTTATTTAACGGATGAATGTTTTTTTTTTTAATTAAATATGTTTATAAATATTATCACGAACTTTGTTTTTGGACCAGATTCGTCTATAATTAAATAACACAATATATAAAAAATATATATAATTCATTAAAAATCAATCACACTTCGTCAATAATATTACAATTAACTCGCTATTTTAAAATTGTTTAGGTACATTTATCACATTATACCGGGTGTTCAAATTAAAGCGTTACAGCTGTATACCGCTTTTTATAAAAAAGAAACGTTTCAGACGAAAGTTTTATAGTTTTGTGGGGAAAAACTTTTGGCTTAAATCATTTTTTATAGCTAACCATAATATGGCCTACTTTTCTTTCGCACAGCAACAAGTCCAATAAAAAAAATATTTCCCTCAAGTTTCTTATTTTTTTATGTATTTTAAGAATACGTAAGAAAAAAATGGGATTCGCATTTAAAAAAACAAAGTCCACCTCGATATGGCCATATTATGGTCAGCTATAAAAAAATTAATTTAGCCAAAATGTTTCCCCCAAAAAACTGTAAAACTTTTGTCTGAAACTTTTTTTTCTAAAATGCATATTTTCGGCGGTATTTAACTGTAACACTTTAATTAGAACACCCGGTATAATAGGCTAGGAGCACGTCACAATCTTCCGGAATATTAATATTATAAAATTACTGATTACTTTTATTATTTTTATAACTACCTTTTCGACGTCTGATTTACATATAGATAAGCAATCTGTGTAACTATGTACCTATATCACTGGGCGTGAGACACCAAGTATGCTCTGGAAATTTATAAAGTACATCCATGGATGCAACAAGTTTTTTCGATAATAATATTACGAAAATAATTCGAATTTATTTAATTAATTACTAAACAATAAATGACATAAAACTTTAATACATCCCCCCTCCCATAAAGTTCACATTTTTGTCACCAGTTGGCGTTAAAGTCATCACGCACGGTCCTTATCTCCCTTATCTCTGAGCTTAATCAAATTAATTTCCTCTTCTTCAGTGGGATTCTCAGCATATGCAATTCTTATGCAATTTCTCTCAGTTAACTGTCAATAATAAAGTGTGGTTTAACAGTTAATTAGACACTTATTTGAATTGTTTTTAATCACTAGCAAATAAAAGAACAATATTAAATAATTAATTATAAGTACTTATTATCATTGAACCTTGATTCTTAAATAAATATATCAGTTTTGATATTGATTATAAAATATTTATTTAAGATTCACGCTTCAATGTAAATTTTATTGAAGCGGTAAATTTTATCAATAGGTATTGTTACGCTGGTTTTTGGTAACTTAAAATATTTTACCTCAACTTTTACAATTCAACTATACTAATAATTTGAACGTACGACGTCTATCATAAAACTAAACTGTGACGTCAGAATCATCGATTTATATAGCTCCCTGAACCTTCTTGAACCGTCCAGATAATTCTTGACACGGACTGATATTTCTAGAGGTTCCTAGATTGATCTATCTTCTTCTTATATTCGTACTTTTACTTATGACGACCGCAACACACTGTCGGGTGATGGGTGACATTCCACTTCTTTTATTCGTACGTTTCCTATAACAACCGCAAGCTACTTCAGGGTGCAGGGTAACATTGCTCCCTCTTTTCTAATTATTCGTCGCGAATAACTTGATTACTGGGATTGGCCAGAGCCAATT